TGACAAACTGGGTTTTCCACAGCGGCTTTCTAAAGCAAAATGCGCCCTCACACTCTGCCACACGTGTTTGTGAAGCTTTGGAAATGCGTTACGAGGATGGACAGACTTGCTGTGCTCCGTCTGAGGCGCCTCTGATGTCGGTCCAAGAGGATCTTGTGATGTATTCAGACCACTTGATGACCTGGAGGCACCGCTTGATCCTGGCCCTCCAACACCTAAAGCGAGCAGCAGCCAACCACATGTCCAAACCCATCCAGCAGAAGCGGGGAGATAAAACATGGGAAGAAACAGAATACTCTTCATGGAGCTGACACAAAGCAGAAGCACCTCATACCTGGCGTGTCAAGTGTTTTTAGCATCCCGGCGGTGTGTGAGCATCAGCAGCGCAGTCTGTGTGCATGTTGAGGCCTCTCAGTGAAATGCTCCTGAGTGCTCTTAGCATCCAGCTGCCGCCGCCGCTGCTGCGACAGAGGGGGTTTTAAAGTGCTGAGGTTTGTGGGAGTCCTGCGAGTTTGGGAGCTCTGGGATCTGGTCTGGAGCAGATGTTGCTCGGGGTTACAGTCTCCACTGAGGGTCACAGGCAGCGCGACTCATATCTGCGCCTCGCAACAAATGTCCACACAACCTCCCAGAGCAGAGCATCTTTCCTCTCTGCTTAAAACCGCCCACATATCTCTCCCTGTGTCTCTTTCACTGTTTTTTCCCTCTCCCACTCTGTCTCCTTCACGCTCTCATCCCTCTGTCCTCATTCCCCTCTCTGCTGCTTATGGAAATGGCTGCCACTCGGCTGCAGTCGGATGTCAGGGCAGTTGAGAGGCTGAGAGAGTGAAAAAAAAAAAAACCTATTAGATTCAACATCGGTGGCACTTCTGCTGTGCAGTGTTGTGAACACTCTGGTATCCGGTGCAGCACTTGTGACTTTGTTGTAATGTGTATGTGTGAATGTGTGTGTGTGTGTGTGTGTGTGTGTGAAAGTGTGGGCCAAGAGTGTGGACTTGTTTGCATGCTTTGCTCTGCACTGCCATCATGTGGTCAGTAAGAGTACTGCCTGCAGTCCCGCAGCAGATCGTTAAAGTAGTAATCTGCAGCATTTTACATGTGATTAAAAGGTAATATTGCTGCTTTTATGTAAAAAAAAAAACACCAGTCAGAGCACCAATGAGGGTCTGAGGACCAAAAGTGAGTACAAGTGACCGACAGTGTGCAGGGTTTTTTTGGTTCTTTCCCATTCAGTTAATCAGACTGTCTTACTGACTTTATGCTGAATTTATTCCATGAAATGTTCCTAAAAGCTTTTCTTTCAGCTGTTCAGGTATGGGAAAGTTTATATTCTGAAAAAGCACCCAGAGCACATAAAGTGATGCGTTTACACTGCGAGAATCATTCACAAGAAGCATTTCATGCAACAGAACACAATTGTGAGTCATCCCCCTAGATGAGAACTCCATGTTAAACTATGGTTCAGACCCACCACCATAGAATTATTTATTGCAACACAACAATCACTGTTTTTCACCAAAGACAGACTCTTTGAGGACACCTGCAGCAACAAAACTAATGCAAAAAGGCCGTTTGTCTTCTAAACCTTTCGAGAATGATTTCATGCAACAGGAAAATGGCTGCTTTTCAGCAATGGCAGGAAGGTGCAAATGGTAGTTAATAGTAGATGCATTGCTGTCCTGATGGGAAGAAAACTGCCTTAAGATCACTAATATCAGATAGGACAACAAATAACAGGGCACAGTGAAATGACAAAAACAGAAAAATAGAAACAGACAAAAAAAGACAAACAGAAAACGTTTTGCTAAATGTGGAATTTTAAATAGAAAAGTGAGCCTGTGAATGCAACTTTATTGTCCAACAGGGGGCCGTTGTCACCAAATCTGCCCATGTAACCGACAGCGTTAACCAATACCTGAGCATGTAGGAGGCGCAGATTAATCTTCAAATTGTGAGCGACAATACTGCCACCATTCGCGATCACTTCAAAACATAAAACCCCGAAGAGAGAACAGCTGATAGAGCATCAGTAAAGACGCAACAGTGACGTTGCAGCATGCAGTTCATGCTCCAGTTGCAGCAGCCGGCACTCTCGCTGGATAGAAACTCTGAGGCTCAAAGACTAAGAGGCTTGTTTTTGTTGTTATGTCAAAGGAAGGATTGCAATAATTACCAAATAACTGGATTTAGTCTTAAAATAGCAGGATCACAAGAAGAAGTCCACGTGGAAAGGAAGGCTTTGTGTAACCAGGATTGTGCCTCTGCGCTCTGCATGCTGCACATCATTAATGTGTCTTCTTTTTCTTGTTGTCATGTCATAAAGGACCACTTTTTATGGCCTCCCACGTCACCCACTGGTCCCCACTGTTGTCAACGGAGATTCTCAGAAGGTCTTTGTGGAAACAGCAGCTTCAAGCAGCCGCAGTTCAACATGCAGAGATATTATCAGAGGATTAGAGTTCTGGAATAGTTTCCCTCTGGGAATACAAACAGCAAGCAACCTCATGACCTGAGAGATGAGCTAATAAAAGACGTCAGGTTCTGGTTTTGGGAGTCTGTTAATGGTTAGCTCTTTGCTCGAGAGAACAATGTCCTCCCTTTAAAAGAAGAGATCATTCTGAGAACAATTTGAGTGAGAACAAATCATGCAGAGCAGATTTTTGCTAGTTTTTTTCCAGCAGACAGCAGACCGGCTTCCAGGGTATCAACACTCAAATCGGGCAGTCGCAATAAGCTCCTGGTTTCTATGGAGACTCCACCTACACAGCCAGCAGTGGAGGCAACACAAACGTCTTAATAATGCCAGTCTACCCCACCTCCCGGCTCTCTTGGTGTTTTAAATGCTGCTGCTGCTGCTTCTTCTTTATTGTCAGTTCCCCCCCCGGTGTCTGTCAGCACAATGTGAGCGTGTGCTGAATATTTACAGACAGACACCATGTTGGACAGTGTGAGTTTACATACAGAGGAGCTGTCCTGCCTGGAGGTTAGAGCCTCGTCATCAGCCCACCAAACGCAGCACTGTTACACTCATTACATAATACGGCTCATTCAGAAGGTTTCAGAGGCGATGGGGACCTTCTGCTGGAGGAGGAAACCTATAAACCATTATGTTCTTTTCTTTTTACATAATGAATATTTCCTCTTCAGTAAGTTGCCGCTGAAAAGCAAAAAGAATAAATTAAAGATGCACTCTAAGCTGCGACTAACAGCTGTTTTCATTAGTCATTAATTGACTGATTGTTTAATAATGTCGGTATGATGCCAAGAATAATGACAGACGCCCAGAGGGATGTTTAAATCTGGGTTTGTATTTTAAATGCTGGTAAGGTGCCTGCATAGGTTAATTGAACTCAGAAATATTGTTTGTATTGGATTACATTTAAGATTTTAAGTAACACAAACTCAATTGTTTTAAGTCAAAAACGTCTTGATTAATCAGCTTTTATTATTCATTTTAAGTTACACTAACTTAGTTTTGTAAGTTAAAGAAACATTCCTGATTAAGTACTTTTTACAAGGTATTTTGTTTTCACAAAATTAAGTCAGTATCACTTAAAAATGACTAAATCTTTTTGAGCAAAAATGTTTTTTAACTTTTAAATTGAGTTTGTTGACTTGAAATTTAAGATGTAATTAGTTTCAACAATGTTTTGAG